CCCATAAATTTGTAGTAGCCAATGGCCCAAGATGCCGAGGCTTTTATTAATAAAAAAAAAAAAATAATAATAATATCGTTGAATTCTTTCGTCGATCGATGTTCAGTAATATGCTCGATCAGGATTCGAGATTAATCCAAACATTCCAAACAGTACGCCCTATATACCGAGGTCTGGGAGCGACCATTTTTTTTTCTTCATATTATTACTATTATAATAACATACAATTAATAAAATCTTATACGAACCTTACAGCGGACAACCGTCATTAGAGTGCCTATATTTTTGCCCACTGCTTTTTGTTAATTTTGTTGGAAAATAATTGGTTGGTATGCGTATAATACCAATGTCGGAAAATATTTATTCTTTTTAAGTATCTGGAACCGTATAGGATTCGGAAAAATATTTGCTAGGAAACGTATTTCGTTTGAAAAGTGTTTACTTAGACGCCGTAAGGATTTGGAAATCGAATGGACCGTCGGAAAATATTGTTTTGTAATCGTATTTAATTGAAACGTATTTTGATGGAAATGTGTTTGTTCAAATACCGTATACCGTAATCCCATTTACCCATTATACATTTCCAATGACATATTTTGCATGAAAATAAGTTGCTGAGAAAATACGAACAAAATGCCATTCAATTAAAACCCAGTTCCAACAATACATATGTTTCCTGCCATGTATTTTTCCAAGATATACTGTTCCAAACCAATCATTATCCAACTTTTTCATTCGCCCCCGCTTACCTCACACTCTTATATGCAATATATCTTTAGGAACATATTAGTTTTAAATAAAAATAACATTGTAGATTAACTAAAACTAAATTTTTTTTAGAAACATTGACCACGAATAAATAATTATGGTTAAGTAAATAAGATTAAGTTAATTACCTATAAAGCTATAACTAAGGTCTGGGTTGCACACGTTGACTGCCGATGGATATAAAATGTGATCTCCAAAAATGCTTTAAAAAATTTGAGAGAGAAAAAAATGGGTGACTTATTAAAAGAGACCCTCTGCACTCACGTAGTTCTAATCGTACCAAAATCATAGTTTTTATATGGGTGTAGTATTATTGTATTTTATTAATGATAATTGATAATATTTCATTAATTGAAGGACTTCTATATTTTTAATTGAACATTTTTATGATTTGTTACTGTTACAAATTAACTGTTTTTTTTTTTCAAAAACGATAATTATTTTGAGTTTTATCAAGAGATATGAGTTTTTTGTCTGTATTAAACAATGGTAAAAAATGATATTACCTATACGAGTTGTAAAATAAAAAAAAATACTAGGTTTCTATTTTCCTTATCAATACACTATTAAAAAATTATTTTGATATTAAGGATATAATTTAACTGCATTATTTTTAATTAAAATTATTTCTAGTCACTAGGTATATCAGGCGTATGGCATGACTTAAAATATTAATTTACTTACACTAAAATAATTCTGTTGTGTGCTCGTATTATTGTAGTTTTTAAAATAATTTCTAAAATTATTAAGCGATTTTAAAATTGATCATAATATACAATAGACAATAGTTTTATAACCTGTATTCAATTTCCGATAATTTAAGACTTAAAGTACCTACTGCAAGGTTTAATATGGTATAATATGGTCTTATAAAAGCCGTATTTTAGCATTTATTTTTCAGTTTAATCTGTTCAAATTTCGGTTGTATCCAAAAACCACACACTCATGATTTCGACCCCAAAAAGGTCGGTACATAAAAACCTCACACTTTGTCGGTACATAGTATAGCAAAATACCGCACACTTTTTAATGCCAAATAAAAGAATAGATAAGATTAAAATTACTGATTGAAATAAATGGAGGATAAATGTTTAATATTTGATGATTTTAAGTACAGAAAATGTAGAGTGTATACTAGTGGAAATATTGAAAAGAATTTTTTTTTTTAAAACTTTACATATTTATTACTAACATATGTCTATACGCCGATAACAGGCATACACTAATAAATAGACAATTATTAAATTAAGCACTTTTATTAAAATATTTACGTAATGTGGTAGTCGAGTCACACGACCACCACCTGGCTCTAACACTGGTGGTCAGTGGTAGTCGAGTCACACGACCACCGCCAACTGACCCTCTTCCTGTTTTAACAACTAACTTATATACACATCTTAAATTTTGATGAATAATTTGTTTACAAAATAAATGTCTTCTTAACCTAGTTTTTACATACTAACATTTCTTTTTACTGCATCTTGCATAATTTATATTATTGTTATCCTAGCCTACTTGTATGTTTTTTTTTTTGTTTAATTTTATTTTTTATGATATTTCTTATTACCTATAATTGTTTACTTAACCTAATTTTTAAGTACTAACAATTAAAAGCTTATTACAACACATATTACATTTCACATTATTACATTTTTTTCAAATTAAAAAACGCCGGCATTCATTTTTAACCAATAAACCTTTGAACATTTTACATTTTTTGAAAATAAATATCTTAAATTTTTGAATATATGAATTTTTTAATTATTTTTTTTTTTTTTAACAAATATAAATAGGTAATATACGATAAATTATCCATCATTATAAAATGTGCGGTTTTGGAATACAACGCCAATTTCAGTAATTATTGTTTGTTACAAATTTTTTTGATACACTATTCATTAAAATAAATTCTAAACAATAATTTATATTGAATTAAAATAAATGATAAACATTTTATTTTAAATTTTAAACGTCCTTAATCATTATGCTAATTGATGAAATTTATATAAGTACCTAGCAATTGAGTTGGTTATAATTTTTTAGTTATCGATTTCTAAAAACAGTTGCTAAAACGTATTTTAAACAATGAAGTAAGTAATATATATTTTATACCAAATAAATATTGGTAATATTACTTGAGTTGAAGAGCAGTAAGCTTTATGTTATTATCTGGTTAAAATAATATGATGGTTGCTATTGTGCAATATTAGTTTGATGATGGAATTATAAATTTTAAAATTTACCCCAAACAAAAATTTAAATCACCAAGTGGCCTAAATAAAAATAAGTGGTATGAACTACCAATATATTTGCGCTATAGGAATTTTAAATCCACTCCACCGGCCCTGCACCTAAATGGGCATGTATATTACATACTGTATTGAAATCAATAACAAAATAATTTGCATGTAAATAATTGTACACAAAGAGCTAAGATTTAGTAACGTTTGAACGGTTTTAACCATAAGTTGTATGTACTTTCCATTTTCCTTTTATAGCCAACACATGTCTTCGATAGGTACCATGAATCACGATCAAATTTTAGTAGACAATGAAAAAAATTGTATTTATTTATTTTTCCCCTCAAACCCAAGGAAACGTATATGTCGAGACTAAACAAAATAACCCTCTATCGAATGTTTAGCTCGGGGCACGCGACCATCATGCAAGCTATATTATATTAATATCCAGTCCCGAACGCGGTAAATAGCTGCCATGCCGTTATACTGTTATTCGAAAGTCGAAACATAGATTCGAGCTGGTCTCCATTGACGCCCTCGAGATTTAGATAAAAATGTACAATACCTACAATATTTTAATGGAATTTCGAATCATGATATATGTATTATAAATGATGGTGAAACACTGAAATGTATAATTTAAATTTAGTTATTAACGACACTTTTACTATGTAGTACTACATACGAATTGTTTTGGCGTGATAGGACTGTACGGATAGAATATATTATAATTTATCAAACGATAATATTCCGTCTCATAAAAAGAAAGCACACACAAATTTAAATTTCAAAGTTAATAATTTGCATGACTATTGTTTTATCAATTACAACGCACATAGTATTATTATTACCTATGTAGTACCTGCAAGGCTACAACACTGGAACACTGCTACCCAAATTACAATTTCCACTAAAGAACATTTAACGAAAACAAAAAATATCGTCAAATGTATTAATAATTATAAAAAAACATTTATTTGTAGGCAATCATGCAGTTGCGCTCTATCAGTGATATTATTGCGAAGCAGTATTATAATATTTATAATGCGCTCTACCGGTGTTATTATGAGTGCAGTATGTGCACTTTTAATATTATAAATACTGATTATTTAAAAACACTAATTTAAACTATAATTTTACTGTATTTTATTGTCTTACCGTTTCTGAGTGGAGAGATAAATGTATTGTTTTATACAATGATGTGTGGTTTTTTGTGTATAATCACACCAGTGGCGCCGAACCTATATGTTAGGTGTGGCGGCTGCCACACCTAATTTAGGGGGTGGGTACCCACCGGGGGTGGGTACCCCCTAGCATTGGTAGTTTTTAAGTATGTACAAACAATTGTATAATTTTATAATTAAGATAAGAAGGAGCAGTGGACATAATATTACAGGTTACGGCGCAACGCGAACTGGTCCATTCGTAGAGTGTCGTAGTGTACACCGTGACACGCCGCGCTGTGTGATTACTTTAGAAAAATATTAAATAATATCACTATATTTGTATAAGATAAATTACCAACATTATTCCTAATAAATTTCTAAACCTAACAGCGGCTACAGTTCACGTTATTTTATGCAGGCTAATGGCTATACAGAGTGAAACATAATATACATGAAAGTAATATCGTAATACCTAGTAATATTCGAAATTATATATTTTTGTAATACAAGAATAATATAATTTTGTATACATTTAAATTCCTTTGATTTATTTGAACAAAACAAGAAATATATAACAATATGAAATCCACTATTATAATATAATATTATGAAATATTATAAATAATAATTATTGAAAACTATTTATAGATATATGGGTAATTACACTATTTACACTTATAACTGATAAGTCATTGTCATTCAGTTATTGGTCATACGACACACACTCACACAGAGTTCACTAAACCAAACATTATTGAGTGGGTATTGGGTACAATGAGTATAGCTATTAGTTATTAGCTTGTGTCTTGAAATCTGTGAAGAGTGAAATTACCGTTTTATATATTCTCAAGGTAGATCATTTCATGATAGTTGGTTTTGGAAAAAACTACCCTGTGGAGAACCAGTTCGTCGAAAATGGATGTCTTATTCTTGGATCAATAACCGATTATATTGTGTTCATTGTGCACTATTTGGTAAAAATAGGAAATTTGAATGGGTATGCAAATGGTTTTCGGATTGGAAGAATGGACCTGTCAAAATATGCAAACATGAAGTTACGGAAAATCATACTTTTGCCTCTATTAAAGCAATATATAAAGAAGCAGCTTTTCCTCTTATTCAATCAATGAAAGAAAATGAAATGAAAAAACTAGTAATGAATAAAGAAGTTATCAAAAATTTAATAGACATCACAATATATTTAAGTAGACATAGCTTACCATTCAGAGGCCATAGAGAAGGTTGGCAAGATAAAATCCGTGGAAACTTTAAAGATTTAACTATTTTTTTAGCAAAATATTCATCGCCATTAGCATCACATTTAACTGAAGTTCAATTGAAAGGAAAACACACATATAATTTTATCACATGGCAACGGCAAAACCAATTAATTCAAGCTATAGCCACTCACATACGTAATTCAATTAAAGATGAGCTTATTAATGCCAAATATTTTGCCGTGTCTGTAGATACTACATTTGATATTTCTCGAAAGGAGCAGTTGTCAATAGTATTTCGTTACATAAATAAAAACACCGGTGATGTCTGTGAAAGACTAATAGCTGTCCGAGAAACTTTATCAACTACTGGTCAACATTTGTTTACAATGTTCAACGATATATGTGAAGAAATGGATATAGATTGGAAAAAATATCTAATTGGCCAATCATACGATGGTGCAGCTTCAATGAGAGGCGCCTACAATGGATTGCAGGCCATAATGAAAGAACATAACCCTTCCGCTACATATGTCTGGTGTTGGGCTCACAGATTTAGTTTGGTAATAGTAGATGCAGTAAGTAGTTGCTCCCAGGCCAAAAATCTATTCGGTAATTTAGAAACACTATATGATTACATAGGCAGCAGTAAAAAACGAGTAGGGCTATATTCTCAACATCAAAAAGAAAGATATCCTGGAAAGCCATTACGTAGGTTAAAAAGAGTAGAAACTACCAGGTGGTCATCCCATGCTGCTGCTCTTCATACAGTTTTTGAGACTTACGATTCATTAATTGACACATTGGACGAATTACAAAATGATGTTGATCGTATTACTAGTGTTAAGGCTGGAAGTTTATTGAATTATTTATTGTCAGAATCATTTGTATTAACTGGTTTTATATTCAAACAAATATTTGAGCTAACTAATCCTTTAAGTGTATTTTTACAAGGCGTACAAATTGATTTATTGGCTGCTACTGAGTATATACAATGTGTATTTGAAAAAATTCAAGCTTTCAGAGATGACAATCAGTTTCAAAGTTTAATCGAAGATAAAAATCAGTTTGTATCATCTAAAAGTGACGAATTATCTTTCACGCCACTAGTAGCAAATAGAAAAAGAGCTAAAAAGAAAATGCCAGGTGAAATTATGTCTGATGAACCTATCAGCTGTCCAATAACAAGTTATAAAGTTAACACATACTTTACTATCATTGATATTGTGTGTACTCAAATTAGAGAAAGATTTAATGATCAGTCAACACCACTATATAAAGATTTATCACTTTTTCAAGTAAAGAGAATAATAGAAGTTAAAGAAAACTCCAATTTACCAACTGATGCATTTGAAGGTTTTGAAAAAATTTATGGACAATTTGTAAAAGCTGAGGATTTGAGACGTGAATACAAACAGTTTGTAAATTCATATTTAATGTTTGAAAAACTTATAAAATTACCAGTGAAGATACATAAGCCAATACCATGTGATGATAATAGCAATGATGACAGTGATGACACCGAAGAAGAAAACACAGAAAATCAAATTATGTCTACAACCTGTGGAACAATAAACACAGTATACAAGGTATGTCAACAAAATGGACTGAAAGAAGTGTTTCCAGCAATTTATACAGCTCTAAGCATTGGACTAACGTTACCTGCTTCAAGCTCATCTCCAGAACGAGCCTTCTCAAAATTAAAACTTATTAAAAGTAAATTAAGAAGTACAATGGCAGAAGAACGATTAGATTCTCTGATGTTAATATCATGTGAGAATGATATTGACATTGACTCTGACTCAGTTATAAATATTTTTACATCATATAGTACAGTGCTTAAAAAAATATTATGTTAATCAAATGAGTAACAGAATGCAGTAAAAAATGAACCTAATATTATATTTATGTAAATAGTTGGTTAATGGTTAATATAATATTATGTATTGTTTATGTTATTTATATAAATAGTTTATAATATTAATATATTAGTACTGCATGTCTCCATAATATTATGATTTATATAGAGAAAAATATAAAATATAAATCAGTTTCTTTGTCAATATCCTTTTCTGATGTGTGATGATCATATTAATAAATTTCTATGCTAATTAAAAATGATAGTACTTATCTGTATATTAAAATATTAAATAATGCAAAAATGCAGTTAATAATATAATTTATTTATGAAAATTATATTTAAAAAAATCTGTAGTGTCTTTGGGGGGGGGGGGGGCTTTGCCCCCCACGGCTTAGGTTTCATACCGCATATAGGTAGGTGGGTGGGTATAAATCAATGTAAATGGCCACACCTAAAAAAAATTAGTTCGGCGCCACTGAATCACACCATAGGAACTCAAAACAATTTTTCAATTTTTAATTACAGTAACTTTTCTGGTGGGAAAGTGAATCTAGTTGGTACTTAGAGAGGTCAAAATGGAAAATTCTTATGAGTTTTCAAAAGCGTTGGTAAAAACCAAATTTAAGAAAAATCTGGAATTTTCATGCAAAATCAGTTTTTAACAAAATCGATTTAGTTTTTTTTTAGTATAACTAAAATAATAACTGCATTTTCATCAAATGTCAATTACATTTTTTCTATACATGATAACATTTTCAAAATATTTTGACCTGTTTTGAGTTATTTGTAGACATGTTCAATATTTTTTAGTTATTGCCTTTAAATGTCAATGAAGTTTATTTCGTTGGGTCAAAACGTTTGAAAATTAAATGCAAGGTTTCTCATAAGTTGCTCTAATAACAATTAAAATATATTAAGTATTTAAGTATACATTGGCAAAAAAATTTTCATAAAAATCTATTACTTTTTCAAATTATTTAGTAACAAATTTATAAAATGTTCATAGCTGAGAATTGAAAATGAAGAACAAGGTATCTTAGAAATATCAAAACATAGTTCTAGTGTTGTCATTTTTCATTTTGTTATTGAATTCTACTAACGTCTGCAATTTTGATGGCCCACAAACAATTTCTAGATTCCTAATGTGGCCCTTCAAAAATATTAATTTATCTCTACAGTACAGTAACTAACTACTGTAACCTATTTTTTAATTCGTTTTTTTAAATTATTTATTTTTAAATAACGAATAAAAAGTTTTATTATAATTATAAATCATTTTCATTTTACAAATTTGTTTTATATTTTCATATTTCAAATACTTCTAAAAAATGTATAAAATCAACTTGAATGTTAGCAATTTACTGAATGTGAACAAAATTAATACTAAGTTAAGGGTATATAAATGTAGATATTCTACGCATATCCAGCCAATAAGATATTATGAAAATAATTATAGATGTAAGTTCAGTTTCCTATTCAAAAACGAAAGTCTCTAATAATGTGTAGGTATGGTTTGTCAAAATAAAGATGAAAAAACAATTTCTCGTTTTTCTTAGTATGCAAATTTGAATTTCGAATATAGTAAGAAAATCGTTTTTTTATGCATATTATATTATTAAAAATATATAAGTAAATAGGAATTATATGTGTATACATTCCATTTAAATATTTTATATTTACTTTCGTCATATTTTATGTCTATCAAATATTTATTTCAATATTTACCTACCTTATTTCAAATGAATAACTTGAATTTGTATTACTCGATATTATTTATATAAAACGCGACAATTTGATTGTCAAACTAATCAAGTATTTTTTCAATGTGATCAGGATTTTTTTTAGTGAAAATATTATAATATCATGTATGGTCTTCCGTAAAATTTTTAACGCCAATTAAGTTCCAAAATGATATTTTGAATGATGTACTATTACTATACTTACGCCATATACGTAATATACGAGTAGTATGCGGTACCCCAACAGCTGAAGTTAATTTTGTGTGTAAGACATTTTAAAATTCGGCAGGTCTTCTTGAACAATATTATGCACGTGCATTTCCGCCAGGGTATGGTGGTGAGCAAAACACAAGTAGGTATAATTTTTACTAGAGAAATGAGAATAGCCGACTATTTAATACTATACGCATAACAGCCCCGTAGTACTTAATCCACCGAAATATACTCAAACGGCTTACCCACAACTACAGTACCTACCTACGGACTGCGGGGCCTCGAAAGATTTTAAGTAGGACTTAAATATTTTTGCAAACACAACGTCGTTTCAGCCGCGCGTTTATTGTTTTCAAGTGTATTTTCACTCGTATATCGCCTGAAAAACCAAAATACAATCGTAATGGCAGAAGGTATTGTGCGGCGTGGGTATTACGCGACTTTAACTTTAATTGATCTTATAATATAATACGAATTTATCGACATAAACCAGCTGCCGTAGGACCTATATAATTTATAAAACAGTGCGTGTGCAACGATCGATTCTCTGTCTCTGGCGATTGAATGTGAAATTTGACGTCTCATCCTGCAGCATATGAAGTGTGTAGTGGTGAGAGTTTAAAAACTGTACAGCGCAGATAAAAAGATTTCAAATATATTGTAAGAATATAATACGTATATGCGGTACCTACCTATATGATGTTACGACAATTTTTTTTTCGTCGTTTGTCTTTAAGGTTCAAAATTCACCACTGCAGGTCTAATATGCATGTCGAATGCATCTGCAGTTCGCTTATTGTTTACTAGGTACTATATGTCTATATTTTCTTCTTTTTTATGTTATCTTGTTATCTATCTTTTCACCCACAAACCGATCAAATCCTCAAAAGATAATAACATTTGTTTTCCTTTTCTCCAATCATTCTCGGCGGGTATTAAAGTTGCGCACAATTTTATCAACACATATATTATGTACAATATGAATTCGCAGTTTGAAACGAACCGTCAAAATGAAACTATCGTATAGACAATATTGGACTCAAAAGTCAAAATGTTTGGAATGTAATATAAAAAATCGAATTCTTAGTAGTATTACCCACAGTGGCCTCTTTTTCAGAGGCTACGATGTAGACATGCTATAATATGGATATACATACAATATTTCATTTTATGGCTGTGTGTATTTTTCTTTTGTTTTGTTATTGAAAACACTTTTCGGAGTAGGTAGTAAAAAATTTCAAAATCTGCAGTGCAGCACTTTTGTAAATTGGATATTATACAACAAAAATATGTTTCGCAGAGAACCTGTTTTTCAGTGCGATAATTGGCGCGTTCGAATTGTTTGAAACATAATAGATAACACAAATAATACGATATCTCATTATTTCAATACCTATACAGTATACGGATATATACAATAACTGTTTCAAAACATTATGTTTTCAATGCACACTACCGCCACGGATTATATAAAACCAGATGGTGCACTTGCTATTCAAACCATATGTAACACAATACAATAGTATTGTAATACTAGAATACTAGATAAATGAAAATAATATTATTTTTGATGTTATGGACTACGAATTAGTTAAGCGTGCGGCTGACATGATTAAACATAATAAATAAATTAAACACAAAATACCTAAATAATTGGGCGAGAGACCGTTGTCAACACTTAGATCGTAGTAGACCATCGAAGTAGCGAGGCCAATTTAATGCGGCTACACGCCGTAAAGGTGCAACGGGTGGGCAAATACGTATTACGCGAGGCACTCAACCACAGTTAACTTTAGTTTAAGACAGCAACTGAATTAAAAATATTATTCAAGATACTTGCTGACGCTACCCCGTGATTCTACTCCAAATGACGCCTATGTCTCATATAATTCTATTATGTTACAGTTACAAACCGTGCTAAGTGAAAACGCCGTAACCACATTTTGCTAAGAAAGATTGCCGTAATTTTTACTTCAAACACGGCGTTTTTAGTTTTTACTTAGCACTTATTTACGGCGTTATTATAAAGTATTTTTGAAAGTATTTGGAATTTTTCTGTAGTATTAATAGGTATACAGTATAATCTTAGTATCGTACCACTTACAAGTTACAATAGGTATCAGCCAAAAATAGTGGCCCACTGAGTCATTTTGGACAATTATAGACCATGAATATATATGGCTGAGGATGTTTAAGTACTTAATTTGATTTTAGTGTTTCCGAGGTAATGAAAATTGTTTATTGTGATTTATTATGACCGTTGAATTATTGTAATCGATTTTGTAATCGTTTTAGATAATTTTTTATTGTTCACCTGTGATTAATAATTTATGACAATGCTGAATACTGCAAATAAAATTGTTTGTATTTATGGTTTTCCCATATCAAGAGGTCAGTACCCAGAGCATAAGCCCACAGATATATAGAATAAACTAGATTGCTAACTGTGGTAATACGTGAATCTACCACCCACCATTTTAAAAAGAGGCCAATGGGGTCGTATCACACCTATTTAACGTTGATAATAATTAATATAAATCATTTTTGCAAATACAAATTATTTAATGTTATTTATTATGTTATTTTATATGTATCTCATAAACACGAGTGATAACGAACACTGGCCTCGAATAAAATGGCGGTCAGTAGCTTCAACCAATTACACAGGTGCTGCATCGCAGTTAGCAATCTACAATCTAGTTTATTCTATATATCTGTGCATAAACCTATACTAAAAATAGATTATTATTGTAAATCATTCGAGTTTAAGAGTGATTTATTGATAGTTAAACTTGTCCATCAATATTCCCTGGTGGAATTCGTTCGCCTGATGGCCAAACATCGATTCCGCCGAATATGAATACAATAATTAAAAGGACGTAACACCCACACATTTTATTGTCCCCGATAAATATTTTCCCAAAAACATTACGTGAGCTTTTTTACGTACTTGTTGCGCTGTTATTAAAATACCCAATGTTTTGGATTAATCAATTTTATTATGTTAGATACTGTATTCATTGTTTTGTTTTTGATAGATAATTTTTAAGACATATTTTTGACCTTATCACTACAAACTTTCAATTTTCGTTTACCCGATGACCAGCACATCAAGCGCGGTTATGAAGAATCAACAGGTTATGCGTCGGTAGCACGATTTAATATAGTAGGGTTACCCGATGACATATGATAAGACCATAGACCTTATGCTCTTAGAGAGATTCGCGAGGGCAGAGCAAGCTAATTTTTCGGAGCTGCTGGTATCACGGATGGCTATTGATCAAAGAGTACCAATGTAGAAACGCCCTTGTTGTCAAAATTTAAACTTTAAGCGCCAATAAAAATCATGCTTGGTGCCTAAAAATACTTAATACCTTTAAATAACTGTTAAAAAATTGATGATGAACCTTTTATTAAATTTTTTTTATCGGTTAGACTTCGAAAAACATTTCTTATTGATATCTATAGAAAAAAAGCTTTAAAATAATATAATTTATTGCAATAATAATTAACAGAATATATAATATAAATAGTAGAATAAGTAGTTTTATTTTTGCTTAGTTTCGTCGTTTAAACTTTATTAGATTAGATAAATATTAAATTATCATAGTATTTTTTTTAGTATACTTGACGAATAAAATTTACCCAATATTACGATAAAATATTACATCATTTTTGCTTGAGCTTTATTAAATTTAAATGTCTCCTACTTTTGGTATAGCCGTCACAAAGTTCGCAAGTTAGCTTTTCTTTCAATTTTAATTGAAAATGTCTGATATAAATATTATTTCTTTATAAAATATGTTTAACCATAAAACGAATTGTTTTTGGATACTTCGAAAACCGACAATTAACAACAAGTTATACCTGTACAGCATAAGTGAACTGCAGAGTCCAGAAGAATGGGATTTTATAACCAACCCCATGAATTACGATATCAAATTTTTGGTTTGGTGGATTCAGAATGAATCAGTGCAATGATTGTATTACTATATAAGTACCTATAATAAAAGTGTACTTAAAGCCATATAAAAAAACGTTTATGTGTATTTTATTATTCCTCAATTATATTTCCATGCACAATGAATTTTCAAAATATTAAGATTTATTTTAAGGTATTTTTACAACAATCCTTTATTATTTATTACCTATTTATTCTCATCGTTCTATGGTACATCGGTTGGTAGACACTCACTGATTATAGTTAATAACAGCTAGGTAGTTATATTATAATTATTACTAATTATTATTATAATATAGTTTATAAATTGTTTTCGACATAAATTAAAAAATTAGTCCAATCTGCCTTATTATAGTAGAATATTAATGGATAAATAAAAAAAAATAATCTACTAATATTAATGAATATATTTTTAATTATCCTTAGAATAGAGGCCAATACACTGTATATAATAGGTACTCAATATCGTTATTCGTATTCAATAATTATTTAACATTACTTACTCCTACATCACGTACCCACAGACCGGTGTTCGGCAGTTATGCCGATGTTACGAAATAAATATAAGTTTTTTCACTAGTAGATTTTTCTCAAATTAAAAAAGTATACCTACATAGACTGCTATGAAAATATTTACCATAATTCACCGTAATATTTTTAGTTATCTTATTTTAAATAAATATGCAAAATGTGTTTATGTTTCAAGTTAGTCAAACTAAATTGTATAAAATACAAAAAACATACATTTTGAAATTTGTTCAATATAATAACATGTTATATGTAAGAAATGTTCTAAATATTGTCTAAGTTACAAGTACCGATATTATGTTACCGATACGAAAATGAATTTAACCTACTGTAGTACTAATAAATGCTTACCCTGGTGCAAAATAAATTTGCCTGCTCTTCATAACGTTCATATTTTTTTCAAATACATTCTTCACCAATCTTCAGCTGTATACCGTTACAGCAATACTGTATTAAATATTTAAATTATTAAAAAACATATGGATAAAGATTTTGCTTTATACATTTAAGCAAGTTCAGATATCTTTAGGAAAATGTTTGGAGAATATATTATTATGATACTTTTGATTTTAGACCAAATATTCCATATATTAAACTTAATTAGTTAAAAAAATTAATAAAACTATACCTAATTAAATTAAAAAGAAAAACTGTATAAGAAAAAAAACAATTTATGATGATACCAGTATTGAGAATACAATGTGGATACTAAAGTTAAATTATGAACATGGAGAAAATAATTTCAGTTTTAAATGTTTTATTAGTTAATTTTATACAATAATTAAGTACCTCTTTAAAAATCTATTTCATAAGTTACTTTCAAACAGTTTATATAATTTCCAGCAACGGAAATAAATATTGTAAAACATAATAGTTAAACAGTATCCACCCACTGTAAATCATTTTGTTAACATATACAAGTACATTGAACAAATTAAGTAATATAAAATTAGATTCATTGGAAACTGTTTTTTTAAGTGTTTATATAAAATTGAAATTAAACCTAATACTATAAAATTTTCTGATAAATTATACCAAATATCCTCCAATCAACAGTAACAATAATCGTCTTCATAATCACTATACCTTTGATCTATTTCGTGTTGTCTTTCTTTTTCGTCCCACAATTTGACAGCTTCTAGAACTTCTTCTGTGACAGTTATTTCATTTTCCCCTTCCACGATTAGTTCATGTTCTTTTAAAAACTTTATTTGAACATCGTACTCCATATGTGATCCATTAATAGCTGCTTGAGTATTCACATACACTTTAGAAATGAATTCATTTTCATCATCAACTGAGGAACTCGGATGACTCTCTTGCGACATTTTAGCAAAAAACTGGTATTGATGAAGCAAGTGGGCTTTTTTTAAAAATAGACAAAACTCGTCTTCTTTATTCGGTATAAGATAAGCAAAAGCAGACGTCATCATTACTCTAGGATAGTTCTTACAAATAGTCTCCATCAGTTCAAAAGACACTATAGGATTTTCAGCTTCATTTTTAAGGTACAAGCATGTTAATATTGGGACGCTCTCACAAACTCTGGACAATGTCACCGCAGTCTTTGAACTTTTAGCTTTTGAAACCAATTCATATTTCAATCGAAGTCTTTTGAGTTCGAGTTTAAATTCTGGTGATGATATAGAGATTTTTTCCAAATCGTTTCCTCTCTCAATACCTAATTTAATCAACATACTTATATCTATATCCATAACTGTTTTATCAGAACTTTGTGCAGCAATATAAGATATAATAACTTTAGGGTCAAATTCCTGTTCGTAATTTTTTTCCTGTGACCATGATGGTACATATTTAATGAATTCATGAAACTTTTTGGCCGTTACTTCATCAGTTCGACCATTCAAAATCATCTCACAAAATTTTTTTCTATCATCTTCAGTTATTTCGGATATCTCTTCGATCGTTTCTTTCATAATGATCTGGGGTTCTTCAGGGTTAGGCTCAGATGAATTAGGTGCAGTCTCTGATACTTCTTGTGCAGACATGTTTCTTTTGGCAGCAAACGGAAGTATTTTGTACCTACAACCTACCTTATATTATTTAATACTTGGTGTTCAATATCAAGACGATATATCAATAACTTATCGAATATGTTATACGAACTACTGCGACTACACTACAAACACTGTCAGGATGAAGCAAACCAAATTTTAAAATCATAATATTATTGTGGGTATCGATTTTTGTTCTGTGCAAACAAATAATACTGTAATGTTAATTAAATTGCGTCCAACAGTGAACTGTTAATAGTCAAAATCAATATTTAGTTATTATCTTTAAATATGCTCACTGCAATAAGTACGTTGTTGTCTCTAGTCTCTACACCATTCTAATAAAACTTAAAAAATATAATAACAGCAAAATAATAATATTGTCGTTAATACATCCTTAAATAGGTACAATGATTTAAAAATTAATGTATCAGTAAATAAATACATCAATGCACTAATGATGTGTGTATTATTGCAATGATTTTATAATGGTTCTGTTCTACTATTGACGTATACACTAGATACTGCGTGTTGATATTATTAGGTATTTTCGTGATATCTAATCATGTTATTGCCAATAATAATAATTATAAATTGTCTCTGAAAATCGTTTCCGAGCGCACTGCTAGGTTAAACTAACACAATACGTCATAATATTATATTGATGATATTTCTTTCTCATTTTTCGTGGTTTAGGTATTTCGGTAAACGTTTAATGAGTTATGGTTATAGGAAAACTCTTGGGATAATCAAATAATTGCTTTTTATTAAATTTACGTATAAATGCAATTAAATATATCTAAAAAATTAAAATAAACAAAGATCAGGTTAAAAGTATTTTCATATAAATTAATATAAAATATAAATAATAAGCTTTAATTTAATTACCCCGAATATAGGCAATCAAATAATGTTTCATATTTTCTGTTTAAACGATTTTGAATATTCTATAGTTGGAATATAGTAATTTGTATACGTTGAAAAATATCAATCTGTGTCGACTGAGGTGTATAAAAATGCGTACCTGTAGAATATCAGATAATCGCGTCCAGTTACTCTAGTAAATTTGTCATATCAATCGGTTCTTCACTGAGACAATGCAAATCCTACATTTTTCTTTAATACATTTTATAACACTTTAACCCGAAGTTTCTATCCATAGAAATTGAGATTTCCAAGATGAATGATGCATTGGTGCATAGGCTGCAACATCTGCATATTATTAGGTAAACTAATATGCAATGATAGATAGCTATATTACTGCACCACCCTGGAAACAATAATGTCAAATCTATTATATTCAATTTGAACTAAATGAAAAACGCTTCTAGGTGAAGACGGCCTGTCACCCTGTATCACTATTTATACTACTGTTATAATAATTTATTTTCAATATAACCAATACGTTGGTAGATTAAATTGATTTTTGACGAAAACAATTCTATATTATTTTATTATTTCTCTAAAATTATAGTAATATAGTATAATATGGTATTTATAATGTATATCATATGTCATATTATTGTTTGTAATTGTTGTGTCAATTTACTGTCTGACCTGTGTATTACGGTAATAAGCAATATGTGAATAAGTTCTTGGTACCTACCTATAAAATATGGTATAGCTTAAATTTTATGTGAATATTATAAAATTTCATGACGTATATTGAAATATAATATTATTTTATCATATGTAAATATTTGAAGTTCAAGAGAAATGTATTTTTAAATTGCAACAAAATAACTAAGGCCGTTATTTTTCGCTTAAACATATCTTATTTGATCCAAATTTAAACTTAAAATGTCTATAAAAATTTTGAGTTTCTATGTTTTTAAAATGTTTGGTTATAAACTAATTATGAGAAATCTTGTATTAATAATGATCAAACCTTAGCTATAAAAATACGTTGTTATTTTAAACAAATATAACTACACAATATTTGCAATATTTTTTCAAAATTTGAACTTCAACACTGTTATACCTAACCTACCCGGAAAAACAACATTCAAATTCAAACCGCGTTGTCCCACCGCGTCTGCTTCTTGCCATTCACCAGCCCACATATACAGTCACTTTCTATCTTTTATTAACACATTTTTGAGTAGCCATTTAACGGTATTATCCGTCAGGAGCACTAAAAATGCCAATTTTTTAAAAATACTATGTTGTGGTTAAACTTCAAGAACGAATGTAGCTCACTTCCAAAGTTGTTCTTTTATTTTTTTGTAAATAATAGTACTCGTATAACTATGCTCAACACTTTGGGAAAATCAGAATTTACTCTCACTTATCTTTTTTTTTATTGTTAATAAACCACGTACTACTTAATTGTAGGTTTTACGTGGTTAAATACATAAGCACGATTTAGTCTCATAAGCATTTAAAGTTCAAATTTTGACAAAATTTATCAAATTGAAAATTTACAAATTATTTTATAGTTAAATATTTACAAAATATTCAACTTTTACAGCTAAGGATTGAAAGTTTAAAACAAGGTTACGAGTAAGTATTTTATTCTGCAACCGAAAAATTCATAAAATATATAAACAGCGTTCTGTTTTATAAGTATTTTAAGTTCGAGTTTAGACGAAATTATATATTAAAACCGAGAATAACGATTCTAGTTATTTTGTTGTATTTTAAAAATTCTATGAGTGGATACTTGAAACTTTCAGAGTTTATTATCATATTCTATACACACAATGACTTTTCAAATGTATTTTTTTCGGCAAAAATGAATTTAACCTACTGTAGTACTAACAAATGCTTAATAGTAAAATAAATATCATTAGTCACAATAATATCATCAAATAGGTAAACTTAATTATTAAATAACATTATAGGTTGACAGACCATCTTCGCTCAGAACAATTTTTCAATACAATAAATGAAAATCATTGAATTCAAATTTAACACCATTCATTACAGTTACCCACTTGTAACCTAATGTACAGCAGTGTGACATCCAGTTACAAGTTATTTTGAATTATTTACAGACATATAAAATTGTTACCGCCTTTTAGTTATTATTTCGAATATATTACATGTGATAATTTTTTTGTAATTAAGTAAAAACATTCAAAAATAATGTAAAAATATAATAGATACTGCATAGTTAAATTGTTCTTACCACTGTTAAAAATATCATAAAAATAATATAAATATCCAGATTAAAAAAGAAACTTAAACTTAAAAAAAATATTGGTAATGTAACATACTACAATGCCGTCCAATCATAGACCATAATATAATAAACACTCATATTATAAGCAAGTCGGCTTTTTTTCAAAAATATACAAAACTCGTCTTCTTTATTCGGTATAAGATGAGCAAAATCTGGCGTCATCATTACTCTAGGATAGTTCTTACAAATAGTCTCCATCAGTTCAAAAGACACTATAGGATTTTCAGCTTCATTTTTAAAGTACAAGCATGTTAATATTGGGACGTTCTCACAAACTCTGGACAATATGTCACCGCAGTCTTTGAACTTTTAGCTTTTGAAACCAATTCATATTTCAATCGAAGACTTTTGAGTTCGAGTTTAAATTCTGGTGATGCTATAGCGATTTTTTTCAAATCGTTTCCTTTCTCTCAATAGGTACCTAATTTAACCAACATACGTACTTACATCTATATCCATAACTGTCTTATCAGAACTTCGTACAGCAATATAAGACATAATAACTTAAGGGTCAAATTCCTGTTCGTAATTTTGTTTCTGTAACCATGATGGTACATATTTAATGATTTCTTGTGCTATTGGTAAATATTTGTCCATTCCAGCATACAGTTTGTATGCAGATTTTATTTACTTAATCATGAGTTAATAAGTTTACCTTATCTAAAATTTTACGATCGTACATATTTAATGATTTCTTGTGCTATTGGTAAATATTTGTCCATTCCAGCATACAGTTTTTTCTAGATTTTATTTACTTTATCATGAGTTAATAAGTTTACCTTATCTAAAATTTGTAATTTCATATTTATCAGGTGTGAGTTCTGATAATTAATTTGGGTGGTGTAGTCTCCGGTACTTCTTTCGCGGTCATGTTTCTCTTAAGGGCAGATGGAAACATAAATTATATTACAATACTTGGCGAATTAAAATACAACAAAATACATCCATATATATAAGAACAGGCCTTTTTTATGCACCCATTTTTTGACTACGCTATTTGACTTTTTTCCAATTTTTTTTCACAAAATTGTTTCAGATAACTTCCGGTATCACCACGTCACCCGATTTTCAACATTTTGATTTTAAAGGGTAGTGAAATTGATAGACATAGTTTTTTACGTGTAATTTGTATATCTATATATTCATATAATAATAACAACAGCAGTCGGCTGATAACGGGAAATACGGTATGGCACGGTGGCTTGAAGGTCCATCTACCTGGACTCAGGCCTTTTTTTGTGTGTGTATTTTATCGGCGTGTAGATATGAATTGATCCTAGACGTTTCGACGCGACACTACGACTGTTAATTTGTCTACTGGCGGTCGTATGTAGCAACGGTTACAACAGCTATATTTATGACGTAGATATACTTGCCGAAATTATTAAAAACTACAAAGTAACGTAACATTTTATTAAGGTCAGTGTTTTATGGAAAATACCGAATAGCTCAATTATACAAATTGTGTTACCGAAAAATAATACTTTTACACAATATGTTTATAGAATCATTAAAATCATTTGTAAATATTATTATTATTATTGTTGTTTTATTTGTAATTCAGCTACTACTACTGCTTAGCACTTGATAGCACTAAGTAAAATACATTTTTGTTCTTATTTAAAACACACACAACAATGTGTGTTGATTTAAGAATTTCATTTTGAGAAATCAAAAACTACAGACGGGCAAAGCCGGGTAATTCAGCTAGTACCTATATTATAATCATACACCACTTAGATGCGACACTCGTAAAAATATGGATGAAGTCCTAACTATTATAATTTATAATATTATGAATTTTAATATG